TAAAAAATATTAATTAGAAGTCGAGATATGATAAAAAAACGATTTTCGGGGGTGAATTTCAGGGATCGTTTTCACCCCTTTAAAGTGGATGTCAGCACAAAAAAAAATACGTGTCTCTTGTTTTGTCGAGTACTACAACATATCGAAAAATTATTGAAGTCGGTGGGGTCGGGTTGGGGGGGTTTCCTTGTAAGTAGTTTGCTAGAATATGATTATAGAACGCCAGAACGCTGATTTGATAATTTACGTATTACTAAAATATTACGAAAATCGATATTAAAATTTGCTATAAAGTGCGGGAGCGAAAACACTTTGTGATTGGTCGTGACGTCACAACCTCATCTCCTTATGTGGAGTTTATTTTATAGCCAAATAGCCAATGAGGAATGCCCGTATTCAAACTTCGCAAGTTGACGACGAATGGTCGGCGTCACAAGACGTTACTATTTAACGTTTACTCACTAATCCGCAAGACGGCAGTACTAGCAGTAATATCAGTTTTTAACAAATATAAGCAGATTATTTACGTAAGCCATCAATATTCACAGTTTTTATAGTACCACAATTAAGAAAAACGAAAAAAAACATTGGTTCAGTTCTACCTCCGCAAAGGTAGCCGGGCAACTTCGACTTATCGAATTTCTGTACTTGCACATCGATAGTTAGTCATTTGTTATTGATTGTTAGACGAATTAAAACATTTGTTAGATAATAGTTTTTTTGCAATAAGGAAAATAAATTTTAGTGTTAAGTTAGCCGAAAAATATTGATTTTACCACAGTTTTTGTTTTGAAACGGGTGCATTCGACGTGGAATCGTTTGTTAGTCCCAAATAAACTAATTAAAACATTTGTTAGATGACGATTTCACCTAAAATAAAGAAAAACCGTCTGCCGTCTGGCTGGCCGGGAGTGGGGGTAAGGCATGGAATATGCGATGTGAAGATAGCCGGAAATATAATTATTCTTCACAGTTTTCGTTTCGAAACGGGTGCAATCGATGTGGAATCGTTTGTTAGTCCCAAATAAACTAATTAAAACATTTGTTAGATGACGATTTCACCTAAAATAAAGAAAAACCGTCTGCCGTCTGGCTGGCCGGGAGGGGGGGTAAGGCATGGAATATGCGATGTAAAGATGGCCGGAAATATAATTATTCTTCACAGTTTTCGTTTCGAAACGGGTGCAATCGATGTGGAATCGTTTGTTAGTCCCAAATAAACTAATTAAAACATTTGTTAGATGACGATTTCACCTAAAATAAAGAAAAACCGTCTGCCGTCTGGCTGGCCGGGAGGGGGGGTAAGGCATGGAATATGCGATGTAAAGATGGCCGGAAATATAATTATTCTTCACAGTTTTCGTTTCGAAACGGGTGCAATCGATGTGGAATCGTTTGTTAGTCCCAAATAAACTAATTAAAACATTTGTTAGATGACGATTTCACCTAAAATAAAGAAAAACCGTCTGCCGTCTGGCTGGCCGGGAGGGGGGGTAAGGCATGGAATATGCGATG